TAAATACATCAGTATGCAACGATCACCACTATCCATCTGCACAATTTTTTCATGTTCACAAACTGCAATTCTGTATCCATTAAGCAATAATTCCCCATTAACTGCAATTCTGTACCCGTTAAGCAATAATTCCCTATTACCCAGTCTCCAGGCCTTGGTAACCACTATTCTACTTTCTCTATGAATTTACCTATTCTAGGTACCTCAAATAAGTGATTTCACACACTATTTGCACATTTGTGTATGGCTTGTTTCACTTAGCAGCGTTTTCAAAATTCATCCACGTTGTAACATATAATTTCATTTCTTTTTAAGGTAGAATAATATTCCATTGTAAGTACATACTACATTTTGTATATCCATTCATCTTTTTATAGACATTTGGATTGTTTCCACCTTTTGGTTATTGTGAATAATGCTGCTAAAGAGACAATAACAAGTGTTGGTGAGGATGTGGAGAAATTGGAACTCTGGTACAGTGCTAATAGGAATGTAAAACAGAGCAGCCACTGTGGAAAACATTTTGGTGGTTTCTCAAAAAATTAAAAATACAATTACCATATGATCCAGCAACTCCACTTCTATGTACACACTGAAATGAATTGAAAGCAAGGACTTGAACAGATTAACTGAACAGATAATTGTATGACAAAGTTCATTTCTGATAAATCAGTCATCTTAATGGGTACAAAGTGACATCTCATAGTAGTTATGATTTGCCATTTCCTTAATGATTAGTGATGTTGAACATCTTTTCATGTGTTTATCAGCCATTTGTGTATCTTCTTAGGGAAAATATCTGGATAAATTTTTAATCAACTCTAAAAATGTATTTCAACATGTATGTTCAAATTAAAAGAAATTCCTTAGGTGCTCTGGCATTCCTGAATCATGAGCCACTCTAAGTATCACGTTAAAGTCCAGACTTGTTTAATATGACAAAAGTTTAGCTCATTTTTAAAAAGCAGCCTCCCCATGCAAAATGGGCTCAGTTCACTTTAATCAACCAGTTCTTAAATGCAGGTTAGTGGAACCATCCTACTCTTGCAAAGTTTAGCAAAAACACTTGAGAGACAACAAAAAGCATGCATTTATCATCCTCTCTCTCCTACAGGCAAGATCCTTTACCAATTTCATTTCTTGCATGGAGCCCAAAAACTCCATTTCCCATGAAAGGCATTCCCTATGGAAAAAGTAATAATGAGTCTAGGGGTGTTGGGAACGTACCACCACCAAAAGGTGGCCCATTCAGTATAATAGCCCACTAAAAATTTCTGCTTTGGGACAAGTCCATGTAACATATCACTAAAGTGTACTTTCCTGAGTTGATATTGCCAAGAGGGTTATGGTCAAATCAACTGCTGAAATATGCACCTTCCAAAGCTAGTAACTCTTTACAGCAAATACTGCCCAATCTTTGGATTTCCAAGACCAGTTTTACTTTAAATTTACTCTATTCACCAAACAGCTAATATTCTTAAGTAAATTCTGATCCCAATCTACTTTACATATAAGATGCTGAAAACATAGGTAGAAAAGAAAATATTAAAATAAAACTACCCCAGTTCTATATTAGAGGGTCCTGCCTTCTTTCACTCATTATTTACTGTGCACCAATACATGCAGAGACTCTTTCAGGTACTTAGCATCTATCAGCAAAAAAACAAACAAACAAACAACAACAACAACAACAAAAAGACAAAGATTTCTACCCTTGTGCAGCTTATGATCCAGTGCCCTTGGATTTATTTTGAGACTGGTGTGTGTGGAACATACCAGTAATTTGTTTTTGCAACTCTATATGCAATAAACCTGACTATATCATATATAATTTCTGAAATAGATGTGCGGGAATTTAAAGTATATAGGAAAATATATACTTGTGAGCATTTTAAGAAAGCACCATAAGCTCATAAAAATTATTTTTCCAAGAATCAACAGCTGATAAGTAACTAAATGATTGTTCCTAATAATGAAGAACTGTCTTATATTGACAGTTGGGCTCTTCTGAACTCCTACAAAGTTAACTACTGCTATTTAAACCCCAGGAGGTTTGTTTAAACTCAAATTCCACTATCATTCATAATTAGGGAATGCTCTAGATTTTAAAACAAACAACCGTAGTCAACTGATAAAATTTTAAATGTCCTAAGAGTACTACACATTCAAGGTATTTCTAGTCATCTGCATGTTAGTTAACTGGATGGTTTAGACTGTTCAGACCTGCACTGTCCAATATGGTAGCCACCAGAGCCACGTATGACTCTTGAGCACATGAAATGCGCCTGATCTAAATTGCAATGAGCTGTAAGTATAACATACACCCTGGAGGAAAAAAAGGTAAACTCTCTCAGCAATTTTTTAATCTGGGTTACAGAAAATAACATTTGGATAAAATGCATTAAAATATATTATTAAATTCTTCATTTACTTTTTTAAATGTGGCTACTAAAAAGTATTTTCTATGTGGCTCCTGTTATCTTTCTCTTAGATAGCAGTAGTTTAAGTAATCTAAACCTGCACACAGAGCTGTATGTGCAATGTGTTTGAGCCATACTCAGAACTTCATACTTACGTATATATTCATTTTTCAGCTTACGTTCAACATATATATCAAAATAAAAAATTCATTTCTCAGCTTACTTTCAACATATATATCAAAACATCAAACTTTTTTGTCAAAAATGAAAGTTTCAGGGTCTAAAGTAAAATAGTTCAGGAGGGCACTAATATTTGGATGACCAAATATTGTCACCTGTGTGACAGGGTATTTAATCCATAAAATAACTTGTTCTGCCACACATCAGCAGCACAAGGGTCACATGTCCATATGTAGCTAATATGCACTGTGCTCCTACAGTATGCCTGGCACCATGCTAGGTGCTTTACTCTCACTGACCCACAAAAGCCTCACAAATTCCCTATGTGGTAGGCACTACTATTAACACTATTTCAAGAAGAAACTGAACAAGTTGAAGATAAAAGTAATTTGCCAAAGTCCCATCAAATAGTAACTTGTGGAACGAGGATACCAACCTTAGCAGGCTTGATCCAAAACCACTACACACTGCCCCTAGTAAAAGGACTGCCCCAGATTAAGTCATTACTTACAGGATTGGGTTTTAGTTGTGGGTAAGTACGCCTTACAAAAAGACTTGAGTAGATGAGATGGAGTTAATGCTTTGCTTCCTACTCTCCACCCCCCACCCTTCTCAGTGGCTGTTAAAGCTGGCCAATTGAATTAAATCCTTGATCTTACTAAAGGTTTTTCCTATGTCCCTTTTCCAGAAGGGCCCTATCCCACTCCCTCTAGCCCAATTCCTATTTGTCCTTCACCCTTCATTTTAGACATCATCTCCATGCAAGTTTACTCGGACTCCCAATGATTTATGCTAGTCACCCCTCCTCCCTGTGCTTACCCCCGGTTGTAGCACTTTCCACACTCTATTGTGATTGTCCTCACTAGATACCTCCTCAAGGGGTGCATCTTGGTCACTTATCTCCAGTGCCTAAACACTGCGTAGCATTAGATGCTCAATAAATATTTGCTTACATCTAACCACCTGACCCACCCAGCTACAGCTTAAAGTGGAATATTAAAGCAAACTTAGCGGTAGGAAGTGCTAACCCACAAACAGAGAACAAGTTCTAAGTTTCACGAAATTCATAACAGGTCAAGAGAACAGTATGATACCCCGGAAATAGTGATTATGATTATCAATGACTACCCCCACCACCACCCCAACACACACACAGAGGAAGCGAAATGAAAATTTTAAACGATCACTTGCTCAATTTTAGTATAATTTGTTTTATGAGAACGAAGTAAGTAGCTGAAAAATATTTGCTACAAGAAAGCCAAATCAGTAAAACCAGTAACACTATAAATTGTTTGTAATCAGCTTAAGTTTGCCAATTCCCGGAGTTCAAAGACGACTGCAGTTGCTTTTTAAATTCGTCTCGATGTAGGATAATTACATTTGAAAATGAGTTTCACTGCACTGCCCCAAGTGCTGAGTCGTGGGCTCCAAGTAACAGAGACAACCGTGTATCCTTTAAGACATTTGTGGTGTGTTGGGGGCGGGGAGGAGGATGGGTTTCACATACAATTCATTTAACAGAATTCGTGTTAACGCTACTAAATTTTCTAATCAGAGTCAAAAAGGACTTTCCTAGAGCCTTCCCTTTTCTTTTTCTCAACGGGAAACCGATTAAAAACGTCAAACTTTAGCTCTTACTTCCACACTAAGTAATTCTGAAACATGATTGAAAAGTACATGAGAAGTCCTAGGACTATGACAGGCCAAATACTTTGCTGTAAATTCTAGCGTCAACGTAACCTAGAAGGGGGAACGTCATTCTTTCGGGTTTGAGGACAGAAACTGATCTCCCTTAGATTACTGACTGCTTCTGTTGATATCTGCAAAAGCACTGTGCGGCAAACATGCCATAGAGTCCCACCCCAAGCACGGAGAGCCTCCGATTGTTTGACACATCAATGGATTAGTCAACGCGGGCAACTCGCTTTCCCCCTCTAATTTGCTTTAATTATTCCTCTCACAAATCCTTAAACTGTACTCTAAATCATGACCATATGGAATCTTCTCTGCCCTGAAGTCTAAATCCAGACGACTTCTATTGCTTCGATCCCAACCACTAAATTAATATTACAAATATAGTACTTGTAGTAACGCCACACAAATATGGAAAAAGCCAGTTCAGTCGCTTAAAGAAATAGGATTCTTGAACGCTGCGAATGCTGCCTATCTTGTAAAGCAAGCACTAAGCAGAGTGGGAGACCTGCTGGAAAGCATAAGACCGGATGGAAAGCATGGAAGACCCCGCCCCAGTAAGCGCGATGCGGATTCAAACAGTAACTTGGGTCTGTCGCTTGGAATCGGAATCACTGAAACAAAGGCGTTTATTACGGGAAGATGTCTAGAATAAAAGAAACGGTTTACAGCTACACAGACGGTACACCACCCTCCCACAAATCTTACCTATGGTGGAAATAAAGGTGGTATTGAAGGCATCATCCGAAAAACGGAAAAGGACGCAGGTCTTCCCCACTCCCGAGTCTCCGATCAGGAGCAGCTTGAAAAGCAGGTCGTACGTCTTCTTCGCCATTGGGAGGAGCGGCTCAGGCTCTCGCCGCCGGCGGCCCCAAGGGATCGGTCCCTCTCACTACCGCCAACTCCTCACTCAGGCGTTCTCAGGCCAGAGGACCAGGGAAGCTTGGTAAGGAGGGATCGAGAGGGCGCGGGCGACCTACGAACGGCCTCGTCGAGGAAGCCCCGACAGTGACGGCGTCCGGTACGTCCGAGGGCGGCGACCGCAGCTCCGCAGCCTCTCCCAGCCGCTCCACCCGGTTCCGGGGAGTCGATCGGGACAAAATGGCCTCCCCTCCCCCCTCAGCTGCTCGACCGGGACGCTCCCACGGGCAACCAAGCCAGCTCTGCCGTCGAGGGAGCGCGGCGGGTGTGAGGCCTGTCTCCCTCTCGAGCAGAAACTCCACGCTAGAACGCGGCGATGGCAGCGAAGGAGAACGCCGAGCCGACGAGCTCATACATAGCCACAGCAAGGCGAGCCTCCCCGGCCAGAGCCACCTTTTCCCCGTGCCCTCTCACGCCGGCGTGCGCGCTGCCTGAGACGCACGCAAGGACGTACACCCGCCCGCCTCTCGCCTCCTCGCCAGGCGGTCCGCCTCTGCGCAGGCGCCCTGTAGGGTGTGGGGCTCACGAGGGCGGGGAGTGGAGTTCTGCGTTTCCAAGCCTCAGTCTAAGGCCGGGCGGACAAGAGAGAGGGGAGGGGCGCGAGAGGGCGAGGCCTCGGGCGCGCTCCCTGAGGCCGCCTGATAGGGTGCGCGGGGTTACGAGCACGCCCCGCGGGGGAGGAGCTGCTAAGTGACTGCGCAGGCGCGGCACGCTGGAGAAGCCCTCTGAACCCCTTCTAACTTACCAGGCTTCTCTCCGGGCTGCGCCGAGTATACCTTGTGCTGTTTGTCGCGTCTGTGGTACTTAGGGTCTTGGAGCAGCGACAGGCTTGGATGGCCGTGTGTTCATGTGAAGCTGTAATTCGTAAACACGAGAAAAAACGCCGTGGGTCATTTAATAGCCTCTTTGCTAAAATGAGACGCATCCTGGAGTGCCCTCCCTCGTGGTAAGAGGTGATAAGGAAAACAGCTCCATCCCGTCTTACTCAAGGAGCAAGAGTTGGCGTTCAAGAGAGCAGGAATTTGAAATGGAAAAACTGGCCACGCTGCTCGGTTGGGATGATGTAATATGCCTTTCAGGGCGAGGAGGGGACTGAGAAACACCTGGGCGCAGGGTGCAGCTCCCTGCCTAGTGGAAGCTTCGGTGCTGTGCTCTACGCGGAGAACCCACTGCAGGCCTTTGACCGTCCTTCTGGAACACTGGAGAGCCCAAGAGCTATACAGAGGAAGCAGGGCCCCTCCCTGCCGCCAAATCGAACCACCGGGGTCCAACAAAACGGAGAGATAGTGAAGCCAACCCCACCCAACCATGACTCTGCCTCGTGCATTCTTCCTTACCTCTCTCCCCATCAGTCTTAAATGCCTCCCTTTTCCTTTCTTCCTTTCTGTAGTTTAAAGATTCATACCCCTGCCCCACCATTCTCTTTGTGTGCTTCACGGGATACCTGGGATGTGTTGGCAAAGTTGTTGAATCTGGTGGGCTGGTTCAACCTGATGGAGGAGGAAACCCTGACACATCTGGAAAGCAAAATACAGGAGCAGAAATTACATTTTTACACCCCCCCCACCGCCAAACTATTTGTGTATTTAATATGTACTTAAAATTAGCCTTTAAGGCACTTAGGGTGTTACATTTCAGTCTCCCATTCATTAAAGACTAGCATTCTTCCTTCCCAATACTTCCCATACTTCAGATGCTTGTATTCTCTAATTTCGATCTTCAGTTTATTTCTGTGATTGCTCTTGTTAAAACTTAAACCTTATGCTCTGAATCATTCTTTCTCCAGTTGGGAATGTCTTCTTATAATAATAATTCTAAAAGAGACTACCCAAATCACAAAATGAGCTACGGTCAGCTCCTCACAGGTCTGTCATCAATTAAGAGTTAACATTCAGCACCTCAGGAAATTCTTAGTGTTAGGGTGATTCTTCCTTTCAAAATAAATCCGACTAACTCAAGCCCCAGCATTGTAAAGCATTTTAGAAATGTTATGAGTTTTAAATGTAGAGAACCTATAAAGTCCACTGCAAAAATTTGGGGGATAATGGGATCTAAAAATGAAAAAAAAATCTAATAAAATCCTTTACCCCAGTTGTTTCCAACATCTTTATTAATTAGAGCCTTTTCTCCATGGAGTCCATAGTCTGAATCTTTAAGAATGAATTACACTTATTAAATTGTATCTATTATTGGGTTAGGGTGATAGAATTTTAGAAGTGTCATGTCTTTTAAGCCATAATTCCACTCCTGTACATGTACATCATTTACAGACTAGTCTTAAGATGCAGAGAGGTTAGGGACTTGCCAGAGGACACGCTGTTAGTAGCAGAGCCACCACTCTACAGGACAAGCAAAAAGGAATGAAATGAAAACTTCCATAGGACCTCATATTGCAAGAAGGTGAGAATTGGGAGGCTCAGCCAATACTGTTCTGCTTCCCTAAAGTTAATTAAAGGTTTTGCAGGAGTGAGGCCTCAGCATCAGGCCGCATCTACCACTGAAGGCAACTGGAGTAACCAAGACATGGAAGATCTCCGTAGAAAAAAATACAGTGGGGGGGTCTATGTAGGCCTAACAGATAAACCTAGAGTTGTAAAGTTATTTGATCAAAGTTGAAACTTAATGAAAGAATATGCCAATGTAGTGCCAGCTTAGGATTTATGCCTTTTTAAAAGTTGCTTTACAAAGAATTTAGTCTAAATATTTACAAAACCAAGAAAGAAAAGAGGTAAGCTTATATATTTATACTATTAAGGTAGTATTTCTGTATATTTTTTAGAAATGAACAGCTGACCAGCTTATGTTTCCAGTTTTCACCATCTTTTCAGGACCTACTTCTATAGCTTTTAAAAAATCCCTGCCTCAAAAGGTAGTGACTCAGGATCATCTTTATCCTTCTACCTGCATGTGCTTTCCAGTCTCTATACCTGATTTATTCCTCTTTAATCCCTCTGCCTTTTGCTCTTTTTGTTCTTAAGAAATGGAATCTTCCCTTGAATGTCATCCCCACTGCTAAGCCATCACTTTGCCTTAAAACCTACCCTTCCAGTCTCAAGGACTTTGCTGGTTTACTACTTCCCATTTCCTGAGTTCACACTCCCAAGCTCCCCCAGGGCTTCACATGAGGAAGGTCTTGTTAGACCTTCCTGATGCTAACTACTGATTGCCCAGAGGCAACCTCTGTTCTTATCACCATGGCCTGCCACTCTTCCTCTCTACCTAGGTATCTTGACTCAGTTCTACCTCTGTTAGAGAATTATTGCCCCATGAGCCTTCCCCAAGATGTGTTTGTTCTAGTCTTCTCCAGGGATACCTCAGTTCTGAAATGCTGGCTTCCTCAGTTGGCACCTAAGGGGCTCCAGTCCATAGCCGACAAGCTTTACTTCCTATCCAACGTCCCACACACTAATCTTCAGGCAAACTGAACTTGGTGTCTTTCCCAGTTACTATGCATCTTCTTGATTTCATGCTTAGTTTAATGTGGTTCTCCATGCAAAATGCATCCTCTCCTCACCCCACTGACATCCCTTCAGCTTTCAGGTTATTTGTCCTCACCACAGGCATCTTCCCCAACACTCATTCCAGAAGGAACTTCTATACTGAACTCCCATAATATTTTAAAAAATCAATTGTTTTCCCCTTTCTACTTCATAATTAAATATTTTATATTTTAATATATATTTATTTTTAGAAATAGAACCTGAAGACAAAAAAAAATTTTTAATTAATAAAAATTCTACCCCCCAGAGATAACTACTATTAACATTTTGGTGAATAGCCATGTGGACAAGTGAGGACAGAGCAGAGTTAGAAGAGGCAGAACTCAGGGGAGCACTGGCAAAGTGAGGACCAAGGACTACTCAGGGAGAGACTTGGAATGCAAATGGGACAGAAACTAATTCAGCCTTAGATATGTCTCCAGAAAACTGTGTCCTCAAGGGTCAAGACCAGAGAAAGATCCATCACACTCAAAAAAACAGTGGCAAAAGGGGAATGTTTTAATCTTGTTCCAAGCCTAGAAATATGAAGCTACATTTGTGATTTACAAAGTCATAGTTCATGGCATGATATAATCAAGTCACAGTGATCTGACTTGAGTCTCTGTTCCATCTCACTTAGCTGGGTCACCTTAGACAATTACTAATCATTCTGAACTTCAATTTCCTCTTCTGAAAAGGGGTTATCAGTAGCTACCAAATCAAGCTATTGTGAAGATTAAAATAATTCAAGGAAGTGGGGCTAACTGTCCCTTAAACATTTCATTTTCTTCCACCTGCAAGAAATAAACCATCCAAGGCACCACTATTGTTATCTCCCATAATATAATGTATATAATCCCAGTGCCTTGGATGTGATAGAAGCTCAATAAATATTAATTAGATTGAATTGCATCTGCATTAGAAGAAATCTTAGAAGCCATCTAGAGTAATTTCCTGCTCTGGGAGAAAAGCCCTAACCTCCCAGTGGCTGTCCAGCCTCTGTGTGAATACATGCCAGGGAGCCTGCTGATGCCAAGAGGACCGATTGCAGGCTGCATATTTCTGATAGAAACGCGTTCCACATACTGAGTCTAAGTGTGCTTCCCTGTAACATCACCCATTAGTTTTATTTTTAGTTTTTAATTTCATAAATTAAAAGTGTAGTTGACATATAATATTGTATTCGTTTCAGGTGTACACATAGTGATTCGACATATATATGCATTATGAAATTCTTGCTACAATAAATGCAGTTAGCATCTGTCACCACACAATTACAACAATATTACTGACTATATTCCCTATGCTGTACTTTCCATCCCTGTGATTTAGTCACCCACTTGTTTTAATTCTGCCCTCTGGAGTAACACAGAATGACCCTTTCCCCACATTCACAGGACAGCTCTTCAATTATTGAACAATAGCATTGGTATTTCCTCTAAACTGCTCCAACCTTACTTTCTTCATATACGACAACTCTCAGATAACTATCAGCACCACCATATTGGCTTACAGATGTCCCTCTTGGAATGTGGGACC